GTTGAACACACTGTTCTGATGATGCAACAGTTGCAACTATGGCAGCTGAGAAGGCCATTCTTTGTGTTCTTTGTGAAGAATTTTCGGGGCATGATGAAGTCGGTATAAATGTGTTTAATACTACAAATTATGCTTAATGTTACTGTATTTGCCGCCCAGAATAAAAGAGAACTTCCCAATTGAATGAAGGGATTTGAGGAAACTGAAATGGAAGCACACATCTTACTTTATTCAGACTAAAACATTTAGCCTAACATACTGACTTTATTTGTAGTTCACCCTGTTTTAATACCCTGTATTTTCTTTCTCATTTTTAGGAAAAGCACTTAATTACCATTGTTTATTTCTATACCAAATGTCATACACTTGCAATGCAGCTAAAAATATAAACATCATTATGTTGATATCCTATATTTTTACAATAAAACTTATGACAAACATGTCTTCCAATATCCTCAGTTTTTCCGTATACTGACCTGCATCGAACACATTTATAATACTTTCCTCATTGTGTAACTCATTGTGCAAGTTCACTTTAATACCACATGCTTTATATACACCTAAATTGCTGCTGATGATTGGATTGCGGTTCTGACACACCCACCAAACAAGAGAAAGCGTTTCTCAAACCCTGTTGCACAGCGGTGCACGCCGATTCCAGGAAACCGTTTTGAACTTGAACGTGCCCCTGGACGCATTAAAGTAATCAAAAGTGACAGTAAAGATATGTACAGTGTTGCAAAAGTGTTTTCAACTTCGATAATAATAATTTTCTTGAACACCAAATCAGCATATTAGAATGATTTCTGAAGGATCATGTGACGATTGGAGTAATGCCATCACATAAAAAAACAATATTACATTAAGCAAAAAAAAATCTTTCCAACCCTAAACTGTTAAACAGTAGTGTAAACAATTGACTATAACTATTGAGTCAAGAAACAGTTTCATCTCATGATATATAGACAGTAAGAAATCTGTTCTTTGTGCAGTTATTTTAATGGAATTATTGTCATTTTTAATATTTTCAGAGGAAACTGTGAAGTCAGATAGCAGTTCAATGTCAGACTCAACATCACATGACAACGGTGAGGCCTTTTAACATTATAAAACAATGAATGGACATCTCAATACTCTGATTCATTTTACCACAGGCTTTAGTTTTTGGCAAGCTGTAACTTTGATTTTGTACAACTGTCAACTGTGGTTTACAGAGGATTCGTCTCCCAGTGTGGCACCTGAGCATCGCTCCTTGTCTCACCCCCGGCTGGCCCCAGGCAGTCCTGACAGTAGGCTCTGTAGGAAGCTGTCGCCTGTGGAGATCTACTACGAGATGAGGACTCGTCGCAACTCAGCCTCAAGCTCTGTGAGGTGAGCGGAGGGGAGGAAGGGAGGTTTTCACAAGCTGAAATGGGTAAGGTTTACCCTACAATTAAAACTTATGAATGTATGAATGTTCATCCAGCCCGAGTGACTCGATGCCAAGAAGTGCATCCAATGTGGAGGGCAGAAGTGTTCCAGCCACACCGCTGTTGTCCCGCACTGCACCAGTCAGTGTCCATGTGAGGTACTAACTCTTTTCTGACCATTTGTACACTGTAGTGTCTACACTTTGGGTGTGTTCCAAAACCTAATGAGTTGCCTACTGCCTATATAGGCATCTGCAGTGCCTTCTAAGGCAACACACAAACTGGCATTTGCATATCCAGCAACACAGATATAGCACAATCTGCAAGAATTATTCTAATATAGTTTTATATTAGCTTGTTGCGAAGCTAACAATACAATACTCTTATAAGCAGCAAACACATATTTTTGTATGTTTTTGAAACTTGAAAACTTATGCTTACCAATGCTGCATTTAAAAAAATATAGTAAAAACAATATTGTTGTGAACCATTATTATAATTAAAAATAACAAATGTATGTTTCATATATTTTAAAATGTAATTTATTCCTGTGATGCAAAGCTGAATTTCAGGATCGTTACTCCAGGCTTCAGTTTCACGTCACATGATCCTTCAGAAATCATTCTAATATGCTGATTTGTTGCACTGCTTAATACAGTTGCGCTGTTTAATATTTTTGTGTAAACCATGATGCATGTTTTTTTTTTCTTTGAATAAAAAGTTCACAAGCACTTATTTGAAATAGAAATGTTTTATAACATTATAAATGTCTTTACTGCAGCATTTGATAAATTTAATGCGTCCTTGCTGAAAAAAAGAATTAATTTCTTAAAAGAAAATTGTAAAACTGATCCCAAAATTTAGAACATAAAACACACAAATATTGGGAATTAAACAATTTAAAATTACATTTTACTTTTAAAAGCTTTTAGTATGAAGTATGATTTTACGTATTTTACGTTCTTGGTTTGCTCAGTAAAATGCTCCCTAGATCGAGCTTTAGATCCAAATGTGTTTTTTTTATTTTTAAATCTCATTACCACTAATGACTTCTTACTGTCTTATCTTCTCCTTCTGCTAGGCCGGAGATGTCTGGTGGTATTGCACTAAAGCAGTGGTGTGGCAGTCCAGATGTTCCTCAGTTTGTCCCACTGGCATCTTTGGAGGGCTCCTCATCTGAGCGCCGCAGCTGCCCCTACAGCTCCCGCGCTCGCCGTAGCAACAGCTCTGAGGCGCTACTTGACCGCTCGAGTCTCCCTGAGCCCGGCCCTCCCCGCAACGGCATGCCACCCCGAGCTGGACCGTACAAGAGCTCCGAGTCCCTCACGGATGGGAAGCTCCGTCAGATATATCAAGGCAGCCCAGAGAGTCAGATGATGGGCTTTAAAGACCAAGGTCGAATGCGCTCCTCTCTTGGTGGCAGTGGCACTGGTTACAATGAGATTTTGATAGACTACATTTGGGGCAAACAGCAAAAGAGGCCCGTCCAGGCTTCGCAGAACCAGTCAACTGGACGAATCTGGCCGGATTTCTCCACTTCTCAAACGGGCACCCCTCCGCATTATAACGGTTTCTCACATTCGCAGTTACATCTGGCTGCTGCTCCACCTACCTATAGCCCCATGCTACTGCGGGGTCAAGAGTCCGAACCCCGTCGGGTCAAAGTGACACGAACCAAATCCTGCGGACCCTTCATCCCACAGGATGCCGTGTTGTTCTCGGCGTATGATCTGTCACATCCCTCCTCTGGATCCACGACCTCTTCCATTCCCAACCTGCTCCCTCACCACACAGAGCTGTCCACGGCTGCAGCGTTCGGACGCAGGCCGCCTCAGTTCTCTCTGCCCACTCCTGAGGACTCCACCCGCAGTCTGCACAAGGCACTGGCTCTGGAGGGACTCCGGGACTGGTATCTGAGGAACGCCTTAGGCTATTCCACTACGGCCAAAGGTCACGACGGACTTTCCATGCGACACTCACATACTCACCACCACCTAGTGCACCAGCCTCAGTCCACCCCAGCCGACCCACTGTACTCTGTGCACCGTCAAATACCTCAGTCAGCTTCATTTCATGGGCATCCCTTGCATGCCAGGTGAGTTTTTCACATTTCTCTTTCATCCCACAGCAGGGCTCCCATGGTTTTGGAGAAGCTGAAATAATCATTCAAATGACTGGAATTGTTGTGAAAATTACTATAGTAAATACCGTTTTATTGCTGTTTATTATCATAAACATTTTGATTGATCATTAGGTTTGGGAACCATGCTACAAATATGAAATTATAATAATTATTATTATTAGTAGTAGTAGACTACTACTTGTAGTAGTTGCAGTGTTATAAATGCATACAAATATGGCCCTTTTTATCATTTATATTTTGTTATATTAGGGTAAGATGAAATAATATATGTAATATGTTTTTAAAAGACGTTTCTTATGCTCACCAAGACTGCATTTATTTGATTAAAAATATAGTAACAACAGTAATATTATAAAGTATTATAACAATTTAAAGTAATGTTTTTCTATTTTAATATATTTTAAATTAAATGTATTTTTATGACAACGCTGTTCGGCACACATTATTTCAGTCTTCAGTGTCACATGATCCTTCAGAAATCATTCTAATATGCTGATTTGGTGCTTGTTTTTAATATTATCAGTGTAAAAACAAACAAGCAGTTAAGCTGCTTAATATATTTGTTGAAATGAAATTGTTTGATGAATAGAAAAGAACAGCATTTCTTTGAAATAGAAATCTTTTGTAACAATGGAAAAGTCTTTACTGTCACTTTGTAATAATTTAATCCTTGCTGACTTTATATATATATATATATATATATATATCGCAATTGTAAGGAAAAAATGTTATAAGTTAACAAGTTAGACATTTTCTGATGCTGCCATTTTCAGTTTTATCATCTCTCTTCATCATGGCAGGTCCGTGGAGCTCTCTCTCTACCCAGATCCTTTCCCATCAGAGGGGAGCACTCAAAAAGGGTCCGGCTCTGAGCCCCCTTCACCTGGAACACTGGTCTGACTGGCAGCCAACACACCCTAGGGCCTCTAATGAAACATGTTGCAAAATCCAATGCAAAATGTTTCCTTCTTATAGGAATGCACCGGTCTGATACTGTGTTCAAGTAATAGTACTCCTTAAGAAAAACTGATATCATGCACCCTTAGTTTGTAGCATAAAAGCTGCAACACAAAGAAAAAAGACAGCAGAACAAATTAGCATTTGGTTGAAGATATATATATATATACAGTATATACACTGCATATATATTATGATGATTTATTATTATATAAATTATATATATTTTTAACAAAGTTCATGTTCAGGTAAGAAGGAGGCGGGAACCCCGAATGCTCAACGTAAAGTATTAATCATAAAACAAACAAATAAGAAAATGAAAGTAAAGCAGCAGCTCCTTGTGGATGACTGCCGCATATAAACGTAATAAATACCAACACAAAAGCCCAGGCCTGGTCCTCTCTCTTCTTGCACTGTTGTCAGTCCTCCTTTTATCCTTCCGGGTCTCCTCCGCCGGACCAGGTGATACTCATTAGCACTCGCTCCGTTCCCACAGCTCTCAAACCCGCTCCGCTTGCCACAATATTATATAAATTACGACATTATTTAAAGGTACAATTATTGTACAGCATTCATCCCTATTGATTAATCCCTACATTGTTTAGCATACGAGGAGGCGTCTTTAAACAACACAGAACTGAAATAGATCAGTGTGTTGGCTGTCATAGATCTAGCGCTGCACTTGATTGTAAACTGGTGTTTACAAGTTACATTTTGTTTATTTTTCTCCATACTCTGTGTATTAATGGGATGTTATTGTAATGTATATATAATTTGTTTTCAAAATGTATAATTAATCATCTCCACTTCATCCTGAGATATATTTATATATTTTCAGAGAATAAAATAGATTATAAGATATATGTATTCTTAATTACTATTTTGTAAACTAATATGTTTCAGGTTAACAGTCATTTAATTATAGACATGACTATTTTAAGTTTAATGAACTCATGCATTTTAATGTACTATAACAGCAGTGAATGTGTTGCATACTTGTTTGTTTATATCTATATATCTAAATATCTATATGTAGCTATGAAGAGTATGATAAAAGCATTTCATTGAGGACCTTATAGGGATGAGCTTTTTTCTCTTGGAGGGCTTATATTATCTGAAGTTGTAGACATGCAAACAAGCCTATGCCTGGTCTCTAAAATTAACTTTAAAGCTCTAATACAGGGATTCATACCATTTAGTCCGCAGTCATTAATTCCACAATTTCAAAGAACTAGAAATTGACTGTTGACCTAAAATATTGTGATCTTAAACTGAAACGTCAGTTCACACACCAAGTAAAAAATAAAAATCTTAAAACTTGCATGAGAATATTTCAAAATGAAATGATGCATCCCTATGAAATCCTTTACAGAGTCAGAAATATATTAATGTTTATTATAATATAATATTTTTTTTATTTAGTTGTTCTTTTGTTTAAAAAATTTTGAGAAAGAAAACTGTTTGCATATATTTTATACTTTCATGATTAGTCGCATCCGACTTGGCAACCCCTTTAATTGATATTCTACAGTATTCAACAAATATATCTGAGGATTTACTGTAGTTTTCATGTTGAGAATGGCATAAGCTGGTCTTATGTTTGCACTTTTTGGAAGCAAAATACCTTCTAATTGTCTAAACCAGTCAGTATGTCATCAATCTGTTTACTAACTAGTTTGACGACTTGTTACAGTTACTGAGTTGATGGTTTAGTTTTTCTTTAGATTGTTCTTCCTGAAATGGTGTCACGATTATTACCCTTGAAATCAGTCCAATTTGGTGTCCACTATTAAAAACAAGACTGTAGACTAATTTGTCCCTATGTTAAGCCTACGTATTATCGCTAAAATTGCAGAACATAGGTCATATGATGGTTTAAGTTTCAAATTATAATGGTTTATTTAATACTTTGTTAATTAGACTTGAAGAATTCATGTGTATTTACTACTCTTCATGTTGCTGGTTTGTGAGGTGCCTCAAGCTGGTATCTGAAACTCATGACCAAACAGCTGTGCATTGCTAGTCTCTCTTAGTGTTTTTGGTGACATAAATGTCTGTACTGTAATTAATTATAAATAACGAAAAATACCTATATGTAGCAACTTGAAAAAACAATATATATTGTATATTTATGAACTGATCAGATTTTGTATACATATTTATTTGCATAGTATACATGCCTCTTGTTTGTTTCCACCAGCGAAAGAGACTCTTGTTGTCATCTTTATGAATTACTCTGTTTTAGCTTTAAATTGTGCTAGCTTTTAGAATCATAAATGTGTTGCTATAGTTGCTTTTTTTATATACTGTTTACATTGTTTCTTTTTTTTTTTTTTTTACATTTCACATCAAGATGGTCTGTTCTGTTGGGGCGGGGGGATCATAATAAAGATCATGATATAAAATCTAATATTTTTTTTCAAAGATGAATCACACCTAAGTGTATGTTTTAATTACAATTCCTGATGTAAGCACAAATTTGGGTTACACAGTACATTCTGAAAGGCTGTTCAGTTCACATTCCTTACGTTCCTTACCATATCTTTGGTCTTTGCTAACATCACTGCATGCCCGCTGAACACTTGGAATGTTTTCAGGCCACTTCAAGTGATTCTCTCCTATTCAAATTGGAGTACAGGCAGTTCTCTTTGATACATGCTTCATTTTTTTGAAAATCTATTCTTATTTCACTGATTTCTATGACTAATACCATGTTTTAAGCATAAATATATCAGAATTTAGTAAGTTAGCTCAATGCACTCAACCCCTTTTAATCACGGTTTGAACCTAGCCTTTGACCTAAGCATTCTTAGTCTGCATTTCTCTGTACATTTAATGTTGAAAATACCCATTACATCAAATATTTCTATCACAACCCTATTCAGGATGAACTGCTGACTCTAGTTTAGCTCCAACCACATCAAGTTTGCAGATGACAAAACTGTGCAAGGCTTCATCAGCAACAATGAAGAAACCGCTACAGACAGGAAGTGACACAACTGGCTGAATGGCACAACCTGTCTCTCAATGTGGGGAAGAAGAAATTGTGATGGACTTCAGGAGAAACTGACTATCAGCAGCTCGACTGTTGAGAGTCAGCAGCACTAAATTCCTGGGGGTGGACACACATCATAGAGGATCTCGCCTGGATCACCAACACTATATCACTTCAAACAGGCCAATCAGCGCCTCCACTTCCTGCGCTATTGCAGGACAGTGAACACAGCTGTAAAGATCATCAGTGTCTCTCTCCCCTTCAAAGGGGACATTTTCTGTGCAAGATGCTCCAGCAAAGCCACCAGTATCGTGAAGAACCCCACCCATCATTCTCACAGTCTCTTTCATCTCTTGCCGTCAGGAAGATGGTAATGGAGCATCAGAGCACGCTCTGCCAGACTCAACAGCTTCTTGCCCCAGGGTGTGAGGGCTTTCAACTCCAGTCACCCCGCTCACCTCTAAAACCCCTGTCCAAACTCCTACATTCTGAACAAGAAGCCGTATACACAGGATGAGTGGCCTGTACAAACCTTCCATCTGTGGTAATACTCTCTTCTCTTTCTCTCTGCACTGGACACTTTAACATCCTCAACATAGGGTAATACAAATGTTTACAATGTACATACACTACAGATGCACCACTGCACTACTGTGTATTGTTACATGTGAAATTCAAATTACATGTCCAGGGTACAGTATTTATGGAAAGTATATGAAGAGTTCAGATGCAAAAGCCTCTAAATGCCATTTGAAATTTTCTTCTTTAATGATGATTTTTATCAAACTTGTATATTTAAGTTCAGTAATTTCACTTAAATAACAATTAATAGGTAATTATCAGTGCCATTTAAGTGAAATTACTGAACTTAAATATACAAGTTTGATAAAAATCATCATTAAAGAAGAAAATTTCAAATGGCATTTAGAGGCTTTTGCATCTGAACTCTTCATATGTAGGCCTATAGTTTTTAGATTATGGTAATGTATAGTTATAGATTAAGTATGTGTACTTGTAGTAAGTGTAACTTGTGTGCTGGGTCTGTGTTCATTTCTGTTGTCATGTGGACTCTTATTTTGAAGTTATTTTCTGTTCCCATTGTCAGATTAGGTCTCTGGCTCCCCTGTTTGGATTATGTTCCTGTTTCTATCTTGGATTATCTTGGTTTTTTGAATGAACTGTTGCTGCACTTGGATTCTCACCTCTCCTCATCCCTGCTTAAAACGTAACAGAAAGATTATATATAGTATTGGTATTGATAGATTACTTCTTTCAGTAGTTATGTGTAGGTTTATACCTGTCTATATGTTTATAGGCTACTTCTGCTGTTTATTGTTTTCATGATACATGTGGTCATCCTGCAAGGCATGACATTTTGTTCCACTGTATGTCTCGACTCCACATACAGCAGAATGACAATAAAGCTCAATTGTTTTGACTTGTACAGAAAGAGTGTACAGTACTACGTTCATTTATAGCATCAACTGTTTTTCTTGGAAAAGGAATGACTGTTGGGAATGGAGAAAGGATGTAGACATAGGATGTGCTCTCCTGTCTGCATCAAAGTCTGTGAATGGTCTCAGGAGGGTATTGTCCAATACATATCGGAAAGACATTCAATAATTGCTATTAAGTGTTCAGGAAGCTTGGCTGGTACCACTGACCTTTAGTTAGTATGGTCGCATTTCTATGACTGATCTGTGCTATTTTAGTGCAGAAGACAGACAGTATTTAATGTTGAATGGTTCTAAAGATGTTTTAGAGCACTTTCAGATTGGAGGGGCCTTATTATTTGGGATTACTGGAAGGTTGTCACACACAGTCCCCATATTTTGCGTGTATTGTTATTTTATTATTTGCTTTTGTAAAGTCTGCATCAGCAGTTCAGTCATTTACTTTAGTCCATGCTGGTACTCAGTGGCAGTGCCGCTCAGCCACAACACATCCATAAAGTCTACTTTTCTACTGATTGTGTTTGATATATTGAAGGGGATGCTTTTTATTGTACTTAAAAATAACTAAAAGTACTAAAAATATACCAAATTGAATAATTGGGTAATTTAGAGTTCAGACAGTTCCTGTCCATTCTTTATCTGACCTCCAGGAGGCACTATATTTCTTATAAGGAGACACCGAAGCACTTTGTTATATTTAACAAAATCTTGTTTATAATATATTTTAATTCTTATAATTATATTCATGAAGTTAAATGGAATGAAAAAATACAAAACTATTTTTGAACAATTTAAAATGTGTGTTAACTATAGGCTACACTGACAACTACAGCTGTTCTGAAAAAAAAAAAAAAAAGATATTTAAGATATTTACTCATTTCATGCCCTTCCGTTGCGAACAAAACTTGAATCGGTTCAATTGAATGAGTTGGTTCACAACTAAAAGATCCGGTCGCTATGGTCGCTACGCGCGTGCTTTAACAAAAAGTAAACAACTAGAGGGGGAACAGCGAAGAACAATTTAAATCCCTGTATGATTTTAATCCATCGTATGATTTCAGAACTTGAATATTGGAACATTAATCGATTGATCGCTTCTGTTCGTTATATGAACAGCTGAGAGAGAGAGAGAGAGAGAGAGAGAGAGAGAGAGAGAGAGAGAGAGAGAGAGAGAGAGAGAGCGCGAGCTGAACAGTATGTGCATTTCACTGCGTGAAAAGAGCTGTAATCGGGCATGTAAAACTCCTGAGTACTCCTGTGTACTCCACAAATAAACGTGTGTATACGGGAGTTTGCTGTCCCGTCACACAATCCCGAAAACTCCTGGATATGTACCAAGTTTGGAGCACAGCAGGGAGCCACTAGGGCCATCAGTTACCATGGTGAATAATCCCCAGGTCGGGGTCAATGCAAGGGAACATTAGCATTTCACACCTTTGGGACACAAGGCAGTGGCCTCCTTCAATTGGTCAGAGATCTTACATAGGATTGGGTGCTCAATGCTTTGTCCCTCCTCTAAACCCCCACACTATTGGTCCAGTTTATGGCCTCATTTGGGTTTATTATTACTCATTATTAATATTCATTGTCATTGGTGTTCATGGTTATAATGTCAAGACAATCAGATAGACAAAGTTGAGTTTGTTATTTTTATTATTTGTAAATGACACTGGGCACATGACATATATATTTATATACACACAGTCACTCTATAAATAAAAAAAATAAAAAAAACATTAGCACAGAATACATTTTACTATTAGTCATACAATAAATAACCCCATATAATATATAAGGCCTGTGTATAATATATGTAAAACAATATAATAACCCGAACCCACACCGACTTTCCATCCAATATGGCATCCTACTCTTCAGACATGTGGTCAACTGTTGCAGTCTTCCAGATAGCTGCCTCTTCCTCTGTCTGGAGAACCCCAGTCCTGCAGCTCAGTAGCTGCAAAATGGGAGGGAAAAAGTAATTAAACCACTGAAAATATCAAATGTGTTGGGATGGGAGCCTCTCCCAGGCTGAGGGTTTTACTCAGATTTATATGTATTTATACTTACTCTTCTTTTTCTTTGTCTCATGAGCATAATGATCCTGCTGTCCTCCATCTTGTCTTTGTTATCATCTTGGGCCATCCTGTAACCCCTTCTAACAGTTTCAAAATATGTCTTGCAGGATGCTAGAGAGATGGAGATAGAGAGGGGGAGAATATGTTTATTTGTAACTGATCTATACAGGTAAAAAATTGTAGCCTTGGTACATTCTCTTGTGACTTACCTTTAACAACAGCAGGATCTACGTCCGGTACAGCCATTAAAAAGATTATGACCTCGAGGTTGTGGGGGGAGGATAGACTGTGAAGCAGTAATTAAAGAAGCTTGATTAAAACTATAATTTAGAAGAAAAGACTGTTATAAAAGCATAGTTTTAAAGATATACCTTGTCTGTGCGTCATATTTGTGCATGTTGTTTTCCCCATTGTGCAATCTCCATACAGCTTCCTGTAAAAATCCAACATAGTATGAGGGCTCAATTCGAATAGATTTATAAATAAAGCACACAAAGTTAAGCAGACACTGTGATGGTCAGAAAATAACTTACCGCAACAGAATTATTCCCAGCTCTCTTTAATTTCTTTGAAGCAGGCTCCTCTTTTGCCTCTTTGAGCTCATTGATGTCAGCCTCCATCTTATCCAACCTCATGTCCATCATCTCCAGCTTTTCAAATATCCTTTTCAAACTTTCATTTGCCATATACACCAGTCTGTTTTCGTTCGGACTCAGAGATTTAATAGCCATATTGTCCCTATGTAAAGGAGTAACATCTCCACTCTGCTCTCCGTAACACTTGTTGAAGATTGACACAATGTAAAGCCTATCACCTTTCCTGAATACTAATGAGGGGGGCAGGGGAATAGGGGCAAACTTGAGCCAGTCCCAAAACAAATTAGCATTTAAAAAGCCAAGCCATCAACGAACAGCATGTGGTCAGACAAGTTCCTGTTTTCGGGCCTTTACAGGCATTTACAGGTACGCATAACAAAGTTCCAAAGATCCCTGCCAAACAGCACATTTCGCGGGCGTTTTCATTGTCCGAATTCTCCCGTATACACACCTTTTGACGCAGTGTTTCCATCTTTGCAGGTTGCTTATAAGAGAAGGTCCTTTAGTAAAATAGATATTTTGTAAAAGGAAAGCAGAGGCCCTCATCGAAAGTAAGTGTTTTCTCTCTGTCATTTATGCTTAAATGGTAATTTATTCTCATTGTTGTCACTTGCTGGCATTTTTGTTGAATTATGAACAGTCAGAAAACGCTGTATGCTATCCACCATGAAGAATAAGATAATTTACTTGAATTGCCTTTTTAAAGCCTATGTTGTGTTCATAATAATGTTACACTTTCCAGACTCTTTCATAAAATAATAACTATGTTTTTAGTTTCAGGCAATGTTTGTGTTTGTGCTCACTTTGTAAATATTTTCTAGGCTTGTCTTGTTTAAAATTGAAACCCAATTTACGTTAAATCTATTTTAGTAAATGTTTCACAGTGAGTGTGTGTTCTGGTCAGCCGATACCAATTATCGTGTTTGCACATCACCGAAGACAAAACAGTCTTTTTTAGTGTATCACATTTCTTGTTCACTTTAAATTATTATCTATCTCTAAACTTTAATATAGCTTTTATAATAAAATCCTTGTGCTATTTAGCATTATTGCTGCGATGCTTGCTATTGCAGTGTGAATTAACATTATAGTACACACATATTGAACTTTTTCAATGCATTACATACACTGGTAAATATTTACAGCCATGAAATTTGTGAAAGCCAGCCTCTGTGCTTCTCTCATTCCTTTCTGACACCCATTTGAGAGGATTTTCTCTCTAAAAATGGCTGTCCAGCATAGTGGCTGAACTCTGCATTCCACTCTAGACCCCAGCTACATTTGTGTAGGTCTATATATTTTAAGAAAGCCTGAGAACATCTTGTCATGGTCCTCTCTTAGGGGTGACACACTCTTTGTCTAATAGCTCTTAACCATGTGCTTGTTGCCATGCAACTCTAAAATCCAACTTGAGAAGTGCATTTCTTACTCTTCATGACTACTCTATTAACAGATCTTCTTTTTTGTGATAAAGTACATATTTACTTTTCAGTGGATATTTTTATTTAATGTACTATTTATTCTATTCAGCAAAACATCAAAAAAAAAAAAAAAAAAAAAAAAAAACGTTTAGTTGTGTAGGCAGCTTGCATGAAGGGGCCGACCTGGGGGCCGACCGACAGAGGCTTAGCCGGTGCCAGTTTGTGTGGAATGACATCCATGGCCCAGAAGCCCAAGGTGGAATCGCTGGCTCGTTGGAGCAAGGCGGATAAGGGGGCTCAGCAGACCGGGGCGATGACGGAGGGAGAGAGAATGAAGGCCGGTGGGAAGGAGTAGCCTGGTGCTTGACTGAGGCTGCGCTGGAGGGACAAGGGGGCCTGGAGAAGACCTGGGACTGACAGACCACGGTGGAGTCGAGGGAGTGCAGAGCCTGGGCGAAGCCAATGGGTTTACCGACAGAGGAGGAGTCGTGGGCCTGGAGGACCAAGGTGAAACCTTAAGGTGAAACTCAGAGGTGAAATCCAGGGAACTGGCTGGAACCAGCGGCAGGGATGGGAGCAGGGAGTTGCGCAGGAACAACAGTGGAGGAAGGTTTTCGGATGGGAACGGTACACAGATCTATCAGGTAACAGTCTGTTCCTGGCTCCCGGATTGACTGGTCAGTGGTCGCATGCTCCAGGCAGTCAAACTCCACAAGAATTTCACAGGAATGATTTCAGTGGCTGTCTTTGGCTCTGTGGTGGAAGTGGGTGGAAGTTTGGCTCTGTCTGGGACTGTAACTGGGTCAGGTTTGACACACTTGAAACCCTCATACGGGTAAGCAGACTCCAGACAGATGAAGATGTATTTCCTCCAGGTGTAACCCCCCCCCCAAACTAAACTCTGGAAATCACTAGGATCACACAGGAGATAAACAGCAAATAATTACGACAAAGGATTGAACTGAACAGGGAGTGTATATACAAGAGATAACAAGGAAATGAGACACGTGATAATTATAAGGTTTTTTTATTTTTATTTTTTTGTCTCACATGATTTGAATTAATTGTCACATGTCTTGGAGTGTGTGTCTAATTAAGGTGATTATCTGTGTCTGTAAGAGTTGTATTTTTCAACATGGGTATTGTGTCCTCGTCCGTGCTGTCCGCAGCTGTGTGCGTGTCTAAACGGGAGTATAACTGTTGGAAGCAACAACAGCAGAAATAACAGCAGAAAAAGCAGTAATAGTCAACAGCAGCAGCAGCAATAACAGCAGTAGAAGCAGCAAAATATCAACAGCAGTCTTAATAACAGCAGAGGCAGCAGCAATTACAACAGTAGAAGCAACAACGTATCCAGATCTATTCCACCAAGAACAAACATTATTAATGTTGAAAACGGTTGTGCTGCATAGTGCTGCTAAAAATAATAGTTTTGTGGAATCTGTGATACTTTTTTTTTACTAGACTCTTGATGAATAGAATGTTCAAAAGAACTGTATTTTAGCAATTTAAAATAAAAAAAAATCTGTTAACCAACTTTTGAATGGTTGTGTATAATAAATATTTGACAAGTTTTTGTTATCTAGGTTATCTTGTGGTGTCGACAAAACACACATTTTGTGAGAAAATTACAGTTTTGTCCCAATCCCAATATCTGTTTCATGGACAGATTGAGCTAAAGCAACATGTTGTAGCAATAGCAACCAAATAATGACATGAGAGAGATTTTCAGGCTTTATTTGCTGCATAACTAACCACCCATCTCATTAGACCAATACAATAGAGGAATGACCAGACAGATGAAAGCACAGTACTGAATAAGAACGTTCATTACCATATACATTCATCTCATGCCCTGCTGGAGTGAAGACCTGAGCTCTATTAAAGTGTAATTATATTACTAGTGTGTGTGTGTGTGTGTGTGTGTGTGTGTGTGTATGCTGTCTTGAAAGGTGATACTATTTTACTGTAGTTTTTTATCAAATAAATTCAGCCTTGGTGAACAAACAAACACCTCAATTATCCTAAACCTTTAAACGGTGGTGTATATTGATTTCCGATTTGTATCTGAAATATTTACATAGTGGCAAAGTTAAATAAAATAACAAATAATACATATAATAACTTCTAAAATACTTAAGGCAATGCAAACGCTTTGAATAGACATTTGATTCAATTTATGTATGTTTTCTGAGCCAATGGGCTTTATGCACAGCTGCACTACTTCCTGAACTTCAGCCAGCTCCTTGTTTCCTGTCTGCCATTATTGGGCAAAATTGATTAATTCAGGTGTGTCTGATTATTGTTGCCGTGACTACTGAGGTCAAGCACACCTGAATTAATCAATGTGTCCAATAATGGCAGACAGGAAACAAGGAGCTGGCTGAAATTCAGGAAGAAGTGAAGCTGTGCATAAAGCCAGTTAACTAGAGCTGTACTTTATGTGATTATAAGCTTAATTCAAAAAATGTATTCTAATGGTTTATGCATCTCTTTGTCTGGCTCTAGTATGTTGCTGGTGTTGCTGTGCTGGTTTTTCGGGGTCACAGGGCTTTTATTTATCTTGTACTCCTGGTTCATCCCTGCTGTTGTGCAGTTCAACGGCAGTCTCGCGTTACTCTGGCATGATGTCATCGTTCAGCATGCTCTTGATACTCTGACCAGATCTACTCAACCACAGGTGACTCAATTTGTCCTGCTTTAACAGTTTTCTATCTCAATACATAGGCCCATATAGCCCATAAAGTAAACAAAGTCGTCACCAGAACCCTTTATGTCTTTGTTGTGACCAGCGTCTGATGAAAGCAGTACAGAAGCATGCAACCCGAGGTGACCCTCAGAGTGTGATCTCGGCCATTGATTATTACTGCCGACACAGGGAATGGGCTATGAACATCGGAGATGAGAAAGGTCAGAGCACTGCTTTTGTATTCCAGACTTGTCAAAAAAAAAAAATAAAAAAAATTATTCATCAAAAATGTTCAGGGGAAGATCTGAAAGAAATTTCAGATTATTTTCTGAAGATGACATTTGAATATAATTGTTTCAAAATAGGGAAATGGGTTTTATTTTATTATTATGTCATTTTTATTACTTAACTAAGAAGTTTTGTATAAGCATTTGGGGTCAGTATTTATTTATTTAAATAAATGTATACTTTAATTCAGTAAGGGTGACTTCAGTTGATCAAAAGTCACAGTATAGACTTTTACATTGTTACAAAATATATTAAAATAGAAAACTGTTATTTTCATTTGTGATAATATTTTACAATGTTACTGTTTTACTGTATTTTTGATCAAATAAATGCAGCCTTGTTGAGCAGAAGAGACTTCCTTCATAAACATAAATAGTGTTCTGTATTCCAATATATGTACTCAAATTCACAAATTTGTGGAACTTTTGCTAAGCCAGATATATAATTTTAAATACTCTTCAAATACTTGTCACTTGTTTAAATAATTGTCTCAAAACAACCGACTTGTGAGGATATTTTACTGATCCTCACCCACTAGTTAAAAAGGCTTATAATTCGTCCAAAACGGGGTTTTATTTAAAGGTAGTATTTTGCACATGTTTCTTGAAGGAAATGTTTAACGGTAGAGGTTGTGTTACCAGCAAACAAATTTAGGTTCTGGGAACGTTAGTTTTTGGTTCCCAGAACGTTCCTAGAAGGTTAAGGGAACATTCCCAGAACATTCTCCTTACATTATAAAAATGGAACCTAAAAATAACCTACATGGAATGTCCCTATAACATTCTTGTTTGGTTCCCAAAAAATAACCTCATGGGACCATTCGGGAACGTTAGGGAAACGTTCTGTGTTTGCTAGGATAGGCCATAGAAAATATCCTTAACCTGATAAAAAATCAATTGAAATCTATGCAATGTTCTCAATAATATAGTGAAACAAACGTGTGTGTGTGTTTGTGTGTGTGTGGCCTGGTAAACCCTACATTGTAATATTTGAAATCCTGCTCCTTGTGGGGAGGAGCCATTTTTTGGTCCCCATGAGGAAAACAGCTTATAAATAATTATGTGATAAATAATTAAGTGCAAAGAAGATAGGTTTAGGGGTAGAGTTGGTGTATAATGGGTAGAGAATATACAGTTTGTACAGTATAAAAATCATTATGGCAATGGGATGGACCCATAAAACAAGAAAACACAGCATTTGTGTGTGTGCACTCAGGCTCTATCCTGGACTCAGTGGTGAGTGAGTTGAACCCAGAGAAGGTCCTAGAGTTGGGCACATACTGTGGATACTCTACAGTGCGCATCGCTCGTCTGCTTCCTCCTGGAGCTCGTCTGATAACACTGGAGTTCAATGCAGATTATGCTGCAGTGGCTCGACAAGTAATCGCCTGGGCGGGTCTTGAAGACAGAGTAAGGGCCCTGTTCCTTCACAAACACTTAATTTACACACAGTAGTAGTCTTTATTTACTCTCTACTCTCTGCAAACATTATAAAGGAGTTGTATTCCTGTTTATTATGCCTTGTATCAATGTTTTACTTCATCAGGTCCAGCTTGTAGAAGGTGCGTCTGAAGATTGGATCCCGCGCATGAAGGAGCACTTCGGAATTGAAACATTTGATTTGGTTTTTCTGGACCACTGGAAGGACCGTTACCTCCCCGACACAAAATTAATGGAGGTGTGTTTGATTCTGACCACTGTAATTTTATTCAATCTCGGTTAGAGATTATGGTGTCTCTTAGAATGTCCAAAAACTTCATGAGTTCAGTTGCAAGTTCAGTATTTTCCTCTCGATTTTACTGGAAGCATATATCCAACCTTTTCTGTACTTCATGTCTTCTTTATTAATAGGATTGTGGTCTACTAAGGAAAGGCACCGTTCTGCTTGCTGATAATGTGATCTGTCCGGGAGTCCCAGACTATCTTCAATATGTGCGCAATAGCCTTTCCTATAGAAGCTGCTATTTTAAATCCCATTTAGAGTATACCAAGGCAGAGGACGGCTTGGAGAAGTCTGTGTTTTTGGGCTAGAGATATACAGAAATGGTTCATATGCTTACCTTTTTTTGCTCGACTTTTTATGCTGAGAGTTTCGCAGATCTAACATTTATTATCATACAGTATGTCCTTAAGACTTACTGTACTTAAAATATGTGAATCAGGGCACAGTTCTGCACATTTGTTCAAACAAGACCACTCTTTTACCACTATGAACCACTAGAGGGTAGGATCACATCTAAAATGGCTTGTCTAGACCCCCTCTTTCAGTGAAATTTTATCTTAAAAATATATACTAGTGACTTATATTTATATATATACTAGTGACTTATACTAGTGACTTTATATATACTTGTATTTATATTTTTACAGAAAATGTAACCTTTTTAGGGTATTTTACTATTTTCCTTTATTTTATTTTATTCTGCATTAATTGAAACAATGCCACTTTGTGTTCATGTCATTTAGAGTGTGTTCATTTTAGCTGTTTTTGCAGTATTGATAGTGGCTTTGAAGATTGCAGTTTTATTTACGTTTTTGGTGCATATTTTTGTATGCTTTAATGTTGCAAATAATGTATCTGCCTCTGGCAATAATGTTTTATTCATTTAATTTTTAAGGTGATATTTTAATTAGCTTTTTCTGTTAGCTTAATCTAAGCTATAGTGTCTTAATGTTAACTAAGTTATAAAACACATTTTCATGTCCTCACCACTGCTTGTGTGTATGTGGCCTGGTAAACCCTACATTATAAAACAAAATGTCCCCATGCACAAAGATTTTTTTTTTTTTCGACTGTTTAAGTTAAGACTATGAAGACTATTAACAAAACACAAGACTATGAAGATATAACAGACCCCTACATTCATTTATTATTCGGATCCATCCCTCTCATTTTTTTAGTGCCATATTCCATAACTTAATTTAACAGTCATAAATCTTTAATAGCATTGAAAATTAACCACTAGAGCCCAGCCACACATTTTAAAATAATACATCCACAAGCACACTTATAAATAAAAATATTATAGACACCTTAAACCTCTATGGTATACGGTGTTGCCACTGTAAAAAACAATGAGTAAAATTGACTTAATTTTTTCAAAGCAAGTTTTTGGACTGATAATTTTTGAGTAAATTTCACACATTAAATTAAGTAAACTATTCGTAACTAAGTTAAGTAAAAGTAATATAAGCAATAAACGAATTTTTATGTAGCTAATAAAAGGTTAAGAAATATCTATTCTATTTAATTGAATTTTTTCAACATTTCTGTACAACATTATTTTAAGTAGAAAATGAACTCCAAATGTCACAAAATGGCAAATTACTAATCCTAACAACAAAAGTAATGATAAAATAGTGTAAATACATTTGGAAAACAGAGAAAAATAAACCTCATTAATTATTTATGGCCCAGTGCATGATGGGAACACCAGTATCAGAAAAGTTGAGTAATTTTACTTAATTTTATAATGTTGATATTTACGCTTTCATTTCTACATGATTGAATTGAGTTCTACTATAGAATTGACTTTTTTTATTCTTGCCTGAACTAACTTTTTTTTATGTAAATTACATTGTTTTTTTTCTGTAGTATTTACTTCACCACAAAATAATTTTTATCAGTCCAGTGCTTGAAGATGAGGATGCAGATGGATATGAAAACTTGATATGATAACTTGACATGATGGTTTGGTAATACTTGTGTTAAGGAACAATGTTGCCTGAGAGCAACAGCTGGAAATGAAATGAAATTTTATTAAATAAAAAAAAAAAATTGTAAAAAAAATAAAATAATTTTAATTAAATAAAACAAAATGGATAAAAAAGAAAGAAATTTGTAATACATCAAAAACTGGATAAATGTGTTTGTTCAAGTGTCTGGTTAGAAATTGATGTTTTCAATAAATAGCCTATATATTTTTTTTTCCAAAGTGAAAATGTCAATTTTTAAAATTTGTCCTTTGTGATACAATGTCGCCTTAGGCACCAAACTTAAAAATAACAATAATAAATAAATAAAAAATTATTGATAATGTTATAGTGTCCAAATTTAAGCAGGACACTCACACAAATAACCACAAATATTTGTTTCTTTCATTGATATCATATTGGGTAAGGGTTATGATCAGTGAACACTCTCCCTGGTTTGCTTTAAAATTTAACAGAGATGGCGTTTATTTGAATAATTCATTCATAACATAAAGCCAAAGATATCCAGAGAAAAAAAGTAACCAATAGTAAAGAGTGCAGGGTCAATATGTTGGAGATGTGAAAAGCCATTAGCCCATATACAGTCATGTGTGTCAGAATAAAGTCCCAAGGTATTATGGACCAGAGTAAGGCTATACATACCATTTAAAAACACACGTGACAGTGAGGTCAGATAGATTAAATGTCTTTATAAAAAGACAAAGAATAATTCTAAAATCTACTAAAATAAATCATATAAATCATGATGAGACTAGGGTCTCGCACCAGATTGTTTCATAAAAGCAGAAGGTCTAAACGCAGAAAACTATCCAGCAGTGTTCACATTAAAAATATATACCGGTCCATCCCTCTCAGAGACTTTTCAAAAGCATGCATGATGTGGTAATCCCAATCTGTGCCCATTAGAGAGAGAGAGGGAGAGAGGGAGAGAGAGGGAGAGTGAGTGGGTAACAAAAGTGTAAGAGAGAGGGAGACAGAAAGCGAGAGAGTGAGCGAAAGAGACAGACAGAGTGAGGGGGCTTTTAAAGGATTTGACAGTGATTTGTAGAATCACAGTTGTGGAATGTTCGGTCTTTTCCAGCGTTTTATAGTTTCTTAAAGCTCTCCATATTTTCTACATTAAAATCTCACCTTAATCAAATAAATCTTTAGATTGTCGTTGTGTGAGAAGACTGTGAAGTGAGGACATTTTAAGATGAGAGCTGAAGATTCGGATGTTGGGGACATCTACTGTCGTGCTTCAAAACCATCCAACTTCAGCTCCAGATGGGCTCTCACTGGCAGCTGCATCAGTTGGTGAGTTTGGGCATAGACAATAATTACTAATCGTTATGCCAACAGATGGAATGTAAATTCCCTTAAAATGTTGTAATTGTAAAGATGTCTGTTCAGGTCTCGCGAAACGTGTAAGAAGCAGGGCAGCTGTTTCCAAGAACACCTGATCAAACGGGTGTGCGTGTGCGCGACGCGTGTGACAGTCTCCCCGCGGGAACTTCAGCTTTCAATCCAAATATAGCTATTTTACCGCTCACTTGTTGCTTAGCCTAATATGTATCAGTTAATTAGCATAAAATATGAATACGCTTGCCTATACATGCCCTCTATTCTCAGCGGTCTGTTGAGTGCGAAGACGAAAAAGTAAGTTAATTTTCCAGAAGACAGACTTTGGGTTGAAATAGCCTAATCATTTTTTGTAAAATAAAATTATTAATAACAAACGGAGGCTAGCTATACACTAAATGTAAAAACTACCTGTTGTAGGCTACTTCCTTGAATTTTTGTCAATATGCTTTTGTTATAGGCTAAATGTAAATGTAAAAGAATATGCTGCTGTGGTGCCCTTACATAAATCTAATAATAACAACATGTCTTTGGTCACTTTGGTCATTTTTTTTTTTTGAATGTAGGCCTACCCTACATTATCATGTTATAATATGGTATTAAGGTGTAAATGGAATACCATAATATGGTGTAAAGAACCACATTTTTCATTCTTTGTTGAATAATCCTGGTAAAAGATATAAAATGGGGAAATTAAATATGAAAATACTGATTTTAACTAACTATTAAAACTAAGTAAAAAAAAATAATAATAATATTGTGGGTTTGGTTGGCACAGTTAATCAATTCTATTACATTTAATAGAAAAGTGGGCTTGGTTGGTACAGTGTTAATATAACCCACAAGTAAACAAACTTAAAAGATGCTACCAAACACAATGTTGTGTGTGTGTGTGTGTGTGTACTGTAAATTGCATTAGCTATTATTATTATTGTAAATTCTATTATATTTAATTGAAAAGCTCTCAACCATCTATAATTGTGTTGTCTCTTGGTAATATCACACAATGTATCTGCAAAGCAGTGCTGTCGAAAGGCATATTTTGTGCTTCATTTTCGTGTACATCTTTTGTCTCATTTCTCCACAGGAGACACAAGTAGAGAAGAAAGCATTGTGCTGTAGCAGAAGAACCAGCCCCTTGCATGGCAGCAACCATGACTCCACATCAACACGCATCATCACTATGCCATCACTACAGGATCAGCAGGGCACCCAGACAACACGTGGGCTCCCTGATTCACATCATATGGATAGTGATGATGGGATTTACTCTAGAATCATCGGCCTCCTCCTCAGGAACTCATTCCATAAAGATCGAGGGTGACATCACTCTTGGAGGGCTTTTTCCGGTGCATTCCAGGGGCCCCGCTGGTGTTTCATGTGGGGAAATTAAGAAGGAGAAGGGGATCCATCGTATGGAGGCCATGTTGTATGCGCTGGACCAGATCAACAGTGACCCAGACCTGCTGCCTAACATCACCCTGGGTGCCAGGATACTGGACACGTGCTCCAGGGATACATATGCACTTGAACAGTCCCTCACCTTTGTCCAGGCCCTCATCCAGAAAGACAACTCAGATGTTCGCTGTTCCAATGGAGAGCCTCCCATCATTCCAAAACCAGAGCGAGTGGTAGGGGTCATCGGGGCATCGGCCAGCTCAGTGTCCATAATGGTGGCCAATGTTCTTCGACTGTTTGCGGTGAGGGATCATTTTTAATTAACTACATTTTAATGTTGATTCCCTCAGTCTCAGGCTCAGCAAATGCTTAATTTAAGGCAAGACATTACAGGTGAATAGTTCAAACAAATAGATATCGCCATACTTTCCCCAGTTTATTAATCAGAGTACATTAAGACAATTGTTTTGTATTACAAGTTTCTGAAATTTTAGATTGTTCAACGAGTTTGTTTGCCCATAAAATCTTTAAGATATTAGGTTAAACTTATTTGGCTTGCTGTTCCATGGAGAGGGGCTCAATGAAGCAGCTTCAACTCGAGCTCTGATATATTAAAAGGGAAAGGTACCTAAGAAGATGAAGGTGGAGTTTGGGGAGGTGGAGGGATGCTGGAACAGCTGTTTATGTATTCAGGTTGTTGATTGAAAGATGCGATTGGGTCACTCCTCCCTAACTTATGTTTAGGAACTTAATTTAAACATGCAAATAAATATGAATTCATTTTGTTGACATATTGGAGTTAAAGGATTTTTCAAGGAGGATTCTTTTTGTATCAGTCCATAAATCAGAAAATACTGTCAGAAAACAGCCAGAAAAATATTTCACCATATTTTAAGGAATAAAATATTATGTAAGTAAATCAGGCAAATTTACAAACCCTTCTCTAAAAGCTTTCGGAATATAGATATTTTACAACTGGAAAGTTTGGTGTAAGTGCTGCTGAAGTGGAGATGTCTGATTCAGAGCATTAGAAAAAACTCAATGGCATTTAAAGATATGTTTTGTAATAATTGCAATATAAAGATGCAAATAGACAAAGTGGGAACACATAAATGTACATTATGGATGTGTTCTTTCCACTACTCTAAAGAAGACATGTTATGGAAGCAAAATAGTCAAAAGTGACCACAACCAGTGTCTGAAAAACAATGTGTTTGCCTGTGGTGCCATAAGATGTATGGCACTTGTATGGATCTTTTTTTAATGTTGTGTGGCAGTCACTGGATTTCCTTCCTCTTGCATGGTGTTGCTGCAAGCCTGGATTCTGCAGCGCTGCAGATAGCGCAGGGCTACAGGAAGTATAACTAATTCTGTTAAAAGGTTTGGATTGTGTTTCAGCTCACTGGCCTCTCAGCAAGAGCTTCTTAAATGATATAGATTCTTTTTTTTTATTTTGTTGTAGAGTATCAGATTTTCCTTGAAGTGAGAAGTGTTTTTGAATTACGCACATCATTGACCTGTGTCCTTAAATCATTGTGAACCACTGCTTTGAAATGTGCTGCGTGCATGTCATTTAATTTCAAATCCTTTCTCATTTCTAGATCGTCATTCAGCTTGCAAATCCGACACCTGAACTACATTCAATTTCATCCCACTCTCTGCCACGTTTGATCTTTTTTATTTATTTATCAGTTTTAAAGGGGTCATATAATGATACATGCACTTTTACAAGTTGATTGAACTGAAATGTGTGTTGGCAGTGCCTGTACACAACCATTAGCCTGGTTAAAACCAGACCACTCTCAGTTGTAACTGAGATATGGTCTGGCAAAGTGTCAGAGACAAATCATTTCCAGAGGGGCGTCACCAACGAACATCGCGGGTAGACCTAAAACCAATCAGAGCGATGAAGGAGATGACGTATGCAGAGCGGCGGCCGGCGGAGAAACATCTCCGAGTGTTGTTCTTTGCTCGTTTTTTAACAAAAAGGAAACATTCAAATCGCTAAAAAACAGACTCAAAAGCTGATTCGAGCGATTGATGTTCGACGGCGGCATCCATCTTTGTAATGAAGGCTACAAAATCTGCTTCAAAATCCCAGCACTGTCGTCATCGTGTAAAGCCCGCCCCAACGTTTCTGATTGGTGCCGCGATTTCTGTAGACTGGAAATGGGTTTTAATGAGCTCTTTGCCAGACTAACTTTCAGAGCAAATCTAAATTTGCCAGAAGTTGTTTGGGTTTTCGCAGACATAACCATCATATAATGATAAAAATCCATCAGTGTTTTTGTCTGGAAAACATCTCCTTAAATGTTTTCCTCTGTCTCAAATTGAGCCGTTCGATTTTGTAACATCACTAAACGGTTTAAACACATCCCCGCCCTGAGTGAGCTGCATAGTCCATCATTGTTGATACGCTGGAGTAGAATGGCATCTCAGCGATTGTGGTGTTCTGTTCTTGGGTGTAATAACGAACAAAGCAGTGATTTTAATGATCCTAAATCGGAACCGCTGAAGATGCAGTGGCTGGGTTTTGTTTTTGAAGGGAATATTCTCCACAAGCAACATCAATGCTTTTGTGTTTGCAAGAATCATTGCTCAACAGACTGCTTTATAAAGAGGGTCATTATAAAGCTGGTTTTGCTAAGAAGCTGCACCTGTCAAAAGAATTGGTACCAAATATTCGTGTCCCTGCTGCACTTCCAGAAGAAGTGAGTGTAAAGTTTAATTACCCTTTATATTAATCTTTGCAAAGTGAGAAAAAAAGTTGTTCATGACCATTAACTGTAACAAACATACAATCTCACGGAGTTCCGCGACTCAGGAGAATGGATGTTGAACCGCCAGATGGTGGCCGTGATCTGGGAGGTGTTCGGGAAAGAGGAAGTGGACCTCTTTGCATCTCAGGAGTCGTCCCAATGCCCGCTCTGGTTCCCCCTGAGTCCACCAGCTCCATTGGGGATAGATGCATTCGCCAACCTGTGGCCGATGCGGAAACTCCATGCCTTCCCGCCCATCAAGTTGAACCAGGCGGTTCTGTCCAGAGTGAGGGAAAGCGGAGTCCGCCTTATAACCCCATTCTGGTCGTTCCAGCTGTGGTTTTCGGAGCTCATTCCTTTGCTGGGATCCCGGTCAGGGAGGATCTCCTTTCCCAACTTCATGGCAGGATTTGGCATCCTCGCCCCAACATTTGGAAGTTGTTTGGCCCATCAGAGGCCGCTAGCTTTAAGCTCTGCTCTCCCAGCTGATGTTCAGGAAGCCATCGCAAGTGCGAGAGCCGCTTCTTACGAGGAGGCTGTATTCCTCCAAGTGGAGGGTGTTTGAGTTATGGTACTCAGCACATGCTAAGAACCCAGTTAGCTGCCCAGTTGGCTCAGTGCTGGAATTCCTATAAGTTTGCTTCTGGAGCGGCCGCTACCACTTTCCGAGTTTATGTCACGGCTATTTCCGCTCATAGAGAGTCAGACGAGATTCCCCTGGGTAAACTTAGGCTAGTTTAGACCGTTATGCAAGGGGTGAGGTGCCTAAAACCGGCACGCTCCCCTGGAATTCCCTTGTGGGACCTGTCAGTCATCTTGTAGGGCTTGACAGAGGCTGACGTTAAAGGGTGCCCTAAAACGTCGGATGTTGACGTATGGTCAAAAGCGTCAGTTAGGTGACGTCTTGTTATGAGAATGTGTTAACCTTCGAGCCCTTGAAGTCAGCCCCTGAGTGGATTCTGACTCTTAAGGTTGCTCTTTTGTTAGCTTTAACTTCATTGAAGCAGATAGGGAACTTACAGGCTCTCTCTATTACTGAGTCATGCTTGGATTTCGCTCCTGGTCTGGTCAAGATTACCTTAAGGCCGAGACCAGGGTATGTACCCAAGGTTCTGTCCACAACTTTTCGCTCTCACGTTATTAACCTTTACGCTTTCCATCCTCCTCCTTTTGCCTCTGAGGAGGATAGGAAACTTAACTTGTTCTGCCCGGTTCGAGCTTTGAAGTTCTATGTGGACTGCTCGGGCTGTTGGAGGAAATCGAACCAGCTCTTGGTATGTTTTGGTGCTGGCGCCGCGAGCTTGCCGCATCAAGGCAGAGGATTTCCCACTGGGTTACGGAAGCTATTTCACTGGCTTATGAGGTGCGTGGCCTGCCTTCACCACTTGGCTTCAGAGCACATTCCACTAGAAGTGTGGCTTCCTCTCAAGCTCTTTTTAGAGGGGCCCTCTTGGAAGATATTTGTGTGGCAGCAGGCTGGTCCTCTCTGCACACTTTTGTCAGATTCTATAGTTTGGATCTTGACATGACTCCAGGTTTGGAGGAATTTTTAACCGGTCATGTAAAAATTCCTGGTCTTGTAATAGCTATGGCAGTGCTTTAACTTGGCGAGTTTGGTAATTCGTTCCCACTGCGTCTTAAAGCTATGCAGCGTTGAGTGAACCTATAAAAGAGAATGCCTCTGGTTACTTGCGTAACCTATGTTCTCTGAATAGGGAACGAGACGCTGCGTTCGTTGCCAAGCTCCTTGCGCTGCCGACAAGTTTTCTTTTTCGGCAGAGAAATCTGAGGAGCAGATGGCGCGCGCGTGTGTATATAATGTTACGACGTAAGAGCGTCAGGGTGGCGCCCGCGTTGGTGTGATTCTATAAGGGCTTCAGACAATCGGCACACCCAGAGGGCGTTCCCAGTGCGTCTTAAAGCTACGCAGTTCCCTATTCAGAGAGCATAGGTTACGCAAGTAACCAGAGACGTGTTTGACTAGGTAATTCATATTAATTTGTACAAAAATGGCATTATATGACCGACCCCTTTAATTATTTGTGTTCTTTGTGGTCAGCGCTTTAAGCTGCATGTGCTGATAACCTTGTCCAGAAGTTATTTGCAATCATTTCAATCAGTCACCATGGGTTCAGGGAAGAACAATTCACAAAATAAAAGTGACTCATCAAAGCTCCATTTGGTTTTTCTCAGGACATTATCCCTGGAATTTGTGCATCCTAATCGTATTTTGATGTGGTTGTTCATTACTTTTAGTGATACGTTCTGGAACAGGGCTGGCAATCATATCTCAATTTTTTTTTGCTTTTTGATGCCCTTGAACAGAGCATAGTTGTCACACAAATGAAGCAATGAAACCTGAGAAATATTTACTCCAGTAAGTGTCACCCACACTTTTGTATATCTCGGTATTTATATGTTTGCTCTGAAATTTGTTATTAAGGCAAGACAAAAACATGGTGACAGTATTTTCTGTAAAAACCTTTAACTCAAATATATAAACAATGTAAAAACTTATAAATAAGAAATTTGAACCTGGCTTTATCAAATGTTTAGATTTCTGTGCTAAAATATCTACCAATTATTGCATATTTAGTTGGATGTATTTTTTTAACACAGCATTTAAAAAAAACTTGTAATGCAAAACTTTGATTAATCAAAAGGGGAAGTATGGCGATATATTTTTGTTGAAATTAGTATCCTATTTTACCCTGGTGTCATAACATTGAAATTATAATACAGCTAATTAGATTCATGTTTAATGCAAGTAAATCACAATTAAAATCTTAAAAATAAGACTTTATAATTAATGAATTTATAATTAAGTATAAAATTAACAAGGCATGTCAAGGGAAAATATTTTATTTTTAATTGATATAAAACAATGCAATCAATGAATTAATGAATTTATAATTAAGTACAAAATTAACAAGGCATGTCAAGGGAAAATATTTCATTTTTAATTTAAACATTCATATTTTACTCAATGTTTTTTGTCATATAATTTAATAATCAATTTAGGGACTTTCATGAATTTTTGTTGAATAATAAAGAGTTTGAATCGATTCACTGAAAGGGGTGTGTATGGACGTACCACAATACTTTAGTAACTCGACTAATAAACAGCTTGTGTCCTCAAATGTAATCTTCAATCATTTTCTATGTTTATCTTTACAAACTTGTTCATGGCCATGTTCCTCCCTGAGTTCTGGTAAGTGGTAACTGAGGAAGACAGATATTAACCACAGCATTACAGAGGATCCGCTCTCCATTAAAGCCCTCTCTCCAGCTCAGACTCCTGAGTCCTGATGGAAAATCAAGCATGAGCCCGGAGAAATGCAGTTGCCGTGTTATCACCTACAGCCAGCTTCTGTTCTGTGGCTTTAGCTGAATGAGTGCTGGCTTTAACACACAGATCGACAGGGACAGATCTCATTTCAGTCTCTAGATCTGCTTGATCCTCACATTCTCTAAATCAAGGGTTACACAAGATGTCTTTACATAAAGATTCATGCACCATTCTATATCAGATTCTTATGATAGGTGGATGACATTCGGCCTATAAAGCATATTTTTTGTAGAATTGGATGAAGTCCCATACAAGACTAACTTTTAAGTATATATTTTTTAATATCTTGTAAAAATGTCACTCTTCAAAGAACAATTTATGATTTCATTCAACTTTATGATTACATTAACTTTTTAATCAGAAATATTATTTAATCTGGATGAATCAACCTGGTTGTATTTGTACACCACACCAGTGAAAGTCATTTTTAAGGGTCAGATCGTGATGAATTTTTTTCACATTTTAGATGCTTAGGGAGCATGTCTAAAACGAATGAAACACTTCTAGGTAATGTTTGCATGCGACTGCTGTTAATGTTGACATGACTCATGTGTGGAAAGGCTCGAAGGCTGAAATGCTTATGATGCATAGCAACACGTTAGTATCTGAGACAAAATCTTTCAGCAACGTCCTCCTATAGCCATCTTTTCCTTTATATATATTTGCATTGATGCTTTGAAATGGGATTGGATGAGGAATGCCTTGCAAACTTTGAATATTGTTGTTTCTAATGCCAGACGTAACAAGTGTCTGAACGGTCATGGGTGGTGCAAAGGCTGTAATATATATATGATGGGGGAGGAGTGGTTAAATCTGTCATAGCAAGTAAGCTAGTAGAATTAAATATATTGTATGGCTTATGGCTGAGAAATGGCAACCTTGTCTCTTGATCTGTCTCTCTCCCTCTGTGCTTAACATAATTTGACTAAAACCCCTCTAATCCTTCCAGATAATCTGTCAAATGGTCCTCTCCCTCTTCTCTCCTTCTCCGGTCTGTAACCACCTTTTCCTCACTGTCCGCTTGCCCGCTTCTTTAAAGAACCTTTCAAGCCATACGGGCTCGGCAGACATTAGTCGGCGCAAAGCTTAGCCCAATGACATCAACTGCATCATTAAAAAACTAGCACAACAGTAAATTAATCTTCTCATCTTTTTTTTTTTTTATACAAACAAATGCTTTTACAGTGGTAGCTCGTGCCATCTGTATTTTCCCAGGATTTCTATGTGCTGCAGCAAACACTACCACTAAATCTAGGGTTGTTTTGCTGCAGGGGACGTGTTTCCTGTGTACTAAGCAATATTACTTAAGCAAATGTGCTGAATATCACTATCTTCAGACATTATTATATATCATGTATGAGCATGAATGATATTTATTTTATACAATAGTTCAGTAAACAAAAGATTAACCCAGTGTTGCCACAATAACTTTGTCTATTTTCACTCCGCCAATGGAAATAGTTTAAGCCAAAGGCACAGTTTTTTAATACTTCAGCGTCTCTGAGTGCATTCCTGAATCAGTGTTTTCTGAACAAATCGGTGGAGTGAATATTTCAATATTTGTGTCCGAAATGACACACCAGAAACGATATACTATGCACTATGTACTCGACCGTTTTGTGTATGAATATTATACACGGTTATTTTGTTATTTAGCACCCTCCATAAGGAAAGCTGCAACAGTTGAGTCCATCAAGTGTCTAACAATTCACCACCACTTTTTTCGGTTAATAAGTTCATCGTCCGGGTGTTTGAAGTGCAATTTTCTTTTTTTGAAATTTTCAGTACACACTTCTTACTCTATTTATACTACAAAACGGCTGAATAGTGCATAAGTACTCGAACTGTGATGCACTAATGACTCATTTCATCCCTGCATGAATATGAGTGAATGATTCAGTGACTCATAAATGGCTTCATCCAAAATCATGTACTCTCTGAGAAGGCAATTCTTTTGAATGAGTACTTGTTCTGGGACCGTTAAAATAAGTGTGTGCTTTATTGTATAAATGTAATCTGGATATAACACATTTCCCATGTTTTCATTGTCATGTGGCCTTTCAATGTGTCTAATGCACACTTCAGAATGTCGCTGTGAGTATTAAGTCATCTGGTTACTTTTTGCCTATACTCCTTTTGAATAATGTGAATTCTGACAAACCGGTATTACTCATACTGTTTTCTAGTAGGGAAGTCTGCATTTTCAGATGGAGCCAGTTTTAAATTAATTGATGGGGAAAATGTTTTATTGATTCACTCATAAAACAGTAACTCATCGCCACATACTGTTGTGATGATTTAACATACAGAAACAGTCACCCCAACAACACACTCTTTAAAATAAAGGTTCTTTATTGGCATGTTTGTTTCCAACATCCCCGCTGAGAAGAGTACCCAACCCCAGACCTGTCCACGATTTTAACCGAGGGCTAACACTCATCCTCCGGTTGTATAACATCATCAAATATGAATTTTATCAGTCCAGTAAAATCCATTTAGCAGAGAAATTCATGAAATTCATGTAAAGGACGCAAAGTGAGTCCTGCTGTTGCTCACTGTTGTGTTCTGTGTCTTCAATTTTGCAGATTCCTCAGATCAGTTATGCTTCAACCGCACCTGAGCTTAGTGACAACAATCGCTACGAATTTTTCTCCCGAGTCGTGCCACCAGATTCCTTTCAGGCCCAGGCGATGGTGGACATTGTCAAAGCCATGGGATGGAACTACGTTTCTACTCTGGCATCAGAGGGGAACTATGGAGAGAGTGGTGTAGATGCTTTCATCCAGATATCCAGGGAAGCAGGTACAGAAAAGTAATGAAAATAGGCTTCAGTGCTTTTAAAGAGCCCATTCTCATCCCAAGACGTCATCTAACTGACGCTTTTGACCATACGTCAACATCCGACGTTTTAGGGTACCTAATCCTAACCCTACCCCAGTCCTAAACCTAGCCGCGTGGATGCCCTAGGATTGCGTCATCTAAAGGGTACCCTAAAACGTCGGATGTTGACGTATGGTCAAAAGCTTCAGATGACATCTTTGGATGAGAATGTGTTTTTTTAAAAGATCGTATTTAAATCGACATATATAAATCAATATATGTGCTTTTATTGTAAGCTAATTTAACCTGATTTAACTTACCATGATTTTCCATACGTAACTGATGAGGAATTTATCACAGTCCATCCAACGATTTGACACACCTGATGTTGTATTTGATGAGGAAAGAGGATAATGATCAGGGGATAAAGGTTTCATGTGATTTCCTGTGGGTAAACAAGTTATTAGTCACCTAGACTTAATGACAGACATGCTACAGATTGAACGGGATGTTATATTCAGTCTAAAGATCCTGCAACCATCATTCTCTTATGAACGAATCAGAGTCCTTCAAAACTATTCGTCATTTTAATTTGTTTTATTCAGGGGGTCTTTGCATCGCACAGGCCATTAAAATCCCTAGGGAGCCAAGACCAGGAGAGTTTGACAAGATCATCAAAAGGCTAATGGAGACATCCAATGCCAGAGGGGTTATTATCTTCGCTAATGAAGATGACATCAAGTGAGTTGTCTTTTAGTAGTAATTCTGAATGACTCGGAAGCAGGAGATATAGCCTTGGAAAAGGTTTGAAAATGGTGTGAGAATAGATCAATCACCCTACAACTGTAGCATCAGGAGTCTTAATGGAAGAAGTAATAATGGCAAATTAATATATTACAGAGTGAATTTTAATCTAGTTTAATTTGCATTTTGTAATATAAGCTTAAATGAACCTGATAATGACACACACGCACGCACAAGAGCCCACTTGCACACACAAACACACACACAAATCAGCAATAATCAACAAATCACAACTATAATGGATCTGATTTTCCTTATCTTTAATGAACCTGCCTTTTCTGAGATTTTTGAATTCATTTATTGTAGGCGTGTCCTGGAAGCAGCAAAGAGAGCCAATCTTACAGGTCACTTTTTATTTGTGGGATCTGATAGCTGGGGAGCAAAAATCTCACCCATCCTGGACCAGGAGGACGTGGCTGAGGGTGCCGTTACCATCCTCCCCAAACGGGCGTCCATTGATGGTATGAACTTGTAGCAGTGTAAGATCAACAAAGGTTTCTTAATTAAGAAAAAATCCACCCCAAAAATTCAAGTTTTTCAAATTCAGACCCAGTTGTTCAAAAGGATTCTGCATCCATGCCCATGTATTAAGTACTTAATTAAAGCCAAGTCACATACTTATGATACATGCATATTTATGTATGTAGCGCACTATGCAATACAGATTGTGTTGATTCAATTCTGTTCAATAACTGTGTAAATGTTGCAGTTAATCAATTATGAAGTTGTATTCAGCTATAAGGAAAATTTTAAAGAATTGTAATGCAGCTTTTGCCATACAGCTGAAAATGACAAAGACACTATTTCACTTATAGTATGTGTCCCACAGAAGAAAAATAACAGCATATGGTTTTGCAATGATGACATATTTTTTTATTCTGGGGTGAACTGTCCCTGTAACCCTGTTTCTCAGGGTTTGACCAGTACTTTGCCTCAAGATCTCTGGAAAACAACAGGAGGAACATCTGGTTCGCCGAGTTCTGGGAGGATGACTTCAAATGCAAACTGACACGACCTGGAATCAGAGGCGAAAGCGGGCTGAGGAAATGCACAGGCGAGGAAATCATTTCCAACAAATTACTCCCATAAACGCTGTAGTACTTGAATTATCATGCATTCTTATGCTTTTAAGATGTGCACAGCACATATAAATGGATTATTCCTCCAGCAAAGCCTGTCACGTTGCTTTCGGTTTTTCAGGAGAAGAACGAATCAGCCAGGATTCGGCATACGAGCAGGAAGGGAAAGTGCAGTTTGTGATCGACGCTGTGTACGCCATGGCCCATGCTCTCCATAGCATGCACATAGACCTTTGTCCGGGTTCAATGGGCGTTTGTGACAAAATGGACCCGGTGGATGGAAAAATGCTGCTGAGCTACATTCGTGCTGTCAATTTTAATGGTAAGCCTTCTCAAGGACACAGCTGAAGCATGTGAGCCATTCCAAACATTGTGAACGAGACCTTGAGACAGTCAGAATTTCCGTAATGGCTTTGTATTCATACAAGACTAATGAACTTCACAGCAGTTTGAATGTAAGTTATTATTTCCGAGGAATGCTTTGTTTGAATCTGCCAGGAAGGTTGCACGAATGAAACGTGCACTTCTCGAATCGAGGATATTGGCATTACAGTGAGACTGACAGGTGATAATAGGTGAAGAGTAGTTTCTGCAAGAGGGGAAAGGACAGAAAAGAAGCTGCTGTTTCCAAGGAGGAGGGTTGTGAGTCCCATGGGTTAGTCAGAGTGCGGCGAGAGAGGTCAGCACTCAATCCCAGCCTGAAGAGATCCACTAATGCACAATGCAGCGGCACACGTACCTCGTCTCTCTCTCTCTCCTTGTCTATGATTCTCCCTGGGGCAGCCTCTCTCCAAACACAAGGCGCATTTCCTTTTCAGTGCTATCTTTTCGGTGAAAATCCCTTTTCTTTTTGTCACTCGCTCTTAAGACATTTCCATGAAAAGCACAGCTATTCAGTTTACGCACAGTGGACGTCCTCACGCTCTTGTGTGGAAATCTTTTGGGCTTTGAGTGCCTAAGGGGAACGGAACACTGTGTGCAGACTTTAACTTGCGATTCGTAAACTCTAGAATGTTAAATTGAGTTTGCCTTGTTGTGCCACATTTTTCCTCATAGAATTTTAGTTTGTTGGTAGCACTTTACAGAAAGGTTCATGAATTAGTTAAATGCATTACTTAACATGAACCATCAACAATCAAAAATATTTCTAAAGCAGTTCTTAATCTTATTTAATGTTAATTTCAATATTAACTAATACATTATTAAAAACAAAAGTTGTATCTGTTAATATTATTTAATGGATTTGCGCTAACATGAACAATGTTCTAATAACAACTAACATTAACAAAGATGAATAAATACTGTAACAAATGTATTACCATTAGTTAAAGGAGTAGTTCACTTTTTTTTTAAAAAAAACAGTTGCTGATAATTTACTCACCCCCATGTCATCCAAGATGTCCATGTCATTCTTTCTTCAGTCGAAAAGTAATTAAGGTTTTTGATGAAAACATTCCAGGATTTTCTCCATATAATGTACTTTACTGGTTACCAAACAGTTCAAGGTCCAAAAGACAGTTTCAGTGCAAACTGTTCAAAGGGCTTTAAACGATTCCAGGCGATGAATAAGGGTCTTATCAAGCTAAACAATCGCTCATTTGAAAAAAAAAAAAAAAAAAAGTTTACGTTTTATACGCTAAAATGGTCGCCTTACTCTTTTTCCGTGTCATTTGGTTCATTCAACGAACGAAATGAACGAATTGACTCTGAAAAAGATTAGTTCATTTTGATGAACGAGTTCGAACGGGAGTCACGGACGCACATTACAGAACAGAGCAACACGACCTTTTGAGCTTATAAAACTTCAACTTTTTTTTTTAAATGAGCGATCGTTTCGCTTAATAAGACCCTTATTCATCGTCTGGAATCGTTTAAAGCCCTTTCAACATTATGCACGGAAACTGTCTTTTGGACCTTGAACTGTTTGGTTACCAGTAAAGTCCATTATATGGAGAAAAATCCTTAAATTCTTTTCGACTGAAGAAAGAATGACATGGACATCTTGGATGCTATGGGGGTGAGTAAATTATCAGCAAACGTTTTTTGAAAAGTGAACTACTCCTTTACTTCATTAATTAATGGGACCTTATTGTAAAGTGTTACCATTTTGTCAGATACAACTCTGTATTTTTTTTAAGCAAGCTTTGTTCTGGAAAAGTCACCTTCAAAGTTATGCTTGATAATTTTACTTTAAATCAAAAGGTGAAAAAGAACAATGGTTTGCAGAAGCATGCATTGTCACGCATTAGTCCAATTTTATGCCATCGCAGTGGGCCGTTTCTTTTAAATACTCTGTCGTTTCAAATTATTGCATTTGAAATAATAACTAGTGATGTTGAATATCAAAACCCTGTGTGTTTACTCTGAAGGCAGTGCCGGTACAGGTGTGATGTTTAATGAAAACGGTGACGCCCCAGGACGATACGATATCTTTCAATACCAGCTTTCCAATACCACCAGCCCGGGATATAAATTCATCGGCCAGTGGACCAACCACTTGCGACTCAATGTAAGCATGTTAAGATCCTTTGTAGTTTGGGACATTTCTGAATGCATGTTCTTGAAATATTCCCCTCTCTTTCTGTAAGGCTGAAGAAATGCAGTGGTCTGGAGGGGATAAAGCTGTTCCAGACTCGGTTTGCAGCTTCCCCTGTGAGTCTGGGGAGAGGAAGAGGATGGTGAAGGGTGTGCCGTGCTGCTGGCATTGTGAACTATGCGACGGCTATCAGTACCTATTGGACGAGTTTAACTGTGACATGTGTCCCTTTGACATGAGACCCACCCCGAACCGCACAAGCTGCAGACCCACTCCCATCATCAAGCTGGAGTGGAGCTCACCGTGGGCCATTATCCCGGTATTTCTGGCAGTTCTGGGCATTCTTGCTACATCAGGAGTCATCATCACCTTCATCCGTTTCAACGACACTCCCATAGTCCGTGCTTCGGGCCGAGAGCTCAGCTATGTTCTCCTGACGGGCATCTTCCTCATCTACCTCATCACCTTCCTCATGATCGCCGAGCCAGGCCCCGTGGTGTGTGCGTTTCGCCGGCTGTTATTGGGGCTGGGCATGTGCATCAGTTATTCTGCCATGCTTACAAAAACGAATCGAATCTATAGGATCTTTGAGCAGGGAAAGAAATCAGTCACGCCACCAAAATTTATCAGCCCCACGTCCCAGCTGATCATCACATTTATTTTGATCTCAGTACAGGTACGTGTATGTCTGTCATTCAATTTACATTCATTTAGCCGACGCTTTTATCCAAACGATCTGCCAGATCCTTGAGCAACATACATATTAAAACTGCAAAATCGTCTAGAAAGTTTTTCACATGATTTTCTAGTATTGTCACAACTGTTTGTTTTGTCTATTCAAAAAATTGTAGAATTAATAAATAAATAAATAAATAAAAATAACATTTCCAACAAACTAAATCTGAACAATATTCTGCCAATTCCACTAAATTTGTCTTTTTTGAACACACAAAACACAGTAATTCAACATATGTGGGAATGTAATATATATATATACTTTTTATCTAAATGAACTCTTGATCAGAGTAACTGCTTTGTTTTGTGTTGACAGTGTTGTCACTGTGCTTTATGTCTCCAAAAGATATTTCGGTCTAAAGACTTTTTGTCCATTAAATAATTAAAGAAGCAAGCTTTTGAGTATAGCACGGAGGGGCTGCAATTTCACTGAAAGCTCTTCTCTTTTTAGTGTCCTCCATTAATGGTTGTTTATTATCAGAGAAAACATTTAGAAACATTCTAATTGAACTGATTTTAGGACCTTTATAGAAGTTGATTTTGTGTGAACGTTGATCCATGGCTCTTTTCTTCTCACAGCTCCTGGGTGTTTTCATTTGGTTTGGAGTGATTCCCCCTCACACGAATATCGACTTTGATGAGCTACGTCCCCCCAACCCAGAGTATGCCCGTGGAATCCTGAAATGTGATATGTCAGATCTGTCTCTGATTGGCTGTCTGAGCTACAGTATGGGGCTGATGGTCACATGTACAGTCTATGCCATTAAGAGCAGAGGCGTTCCTGAGACCTTCAATGAGGCCAAACCCATCGGTTTTACCATGTACACCACCTGTATCATCTGGTTGGCCTTTGTTCCCATTTTTTTCGGCACATCACAATCCACGGAAAAGGTAAACTGTCAATAAGATATTTTGGACAGATTTTTCTGATTTAAATAGAACAGGCAATATAGACCAGCTCTCTCTATATAAAATATATATATATATAATTACATTTACATTTATTCATTTAGCAGACGCTTTTATCCAAATCGACTTACAAATGAGAACAATAGAAGCAGTTAAACTAACAATAGGACAACAATATGAAAGTGCAATGACCCTTCCCAGTTTAATCTAACACAGTATGTGTATTTAAAAAAGAAAAAGATAATAGATATAGAATAGAAGATAAAGTGTTAGTATTAATGGATCAAGTGTTGCAGAAAAAATAGATGTACGTTTTGTTTTTGTTGCAACAATGCCTTAAATCCATTTGTTCATCAGTATTTTCCCTGACTATGTAAATAAGCACATTAAATTTAAAATTATAATTAATTTTGTCACAAATACATATGTCACTTACATTGCAATCATTTCACGATTGCTTCACTATTAACAGTATGTGTTTGGGTCTGTTGGCATATTTGATATAATCCTAAAATATAAAATCTAAGTTTTGCTTCCATGATATTAGTGTTAAAGATTCGCTGGTGCCTGACATTAACATGTTATACAGAAATATGATCTTCACCCTGTATGTCTAGACATACATTTCTCTGGATAAGATGGCTCATGTTCAGTTAATGATGCTGGAACATTTACTTGTGAATGCTTCAACCATAATCAGATATTAGAAACCTAAAAAACTGTAGCTATATCTGGTTAACATAATTGCTATTTAATTGGATTATGTTTTGTGTTGGACTAAAAGCTGTTAAGATCCTAGCCACACTTAATGCATTTAGTCATTCAATTTTTCATGTCTATTCATCCTGTGGGGGATGGTTTTGCTTACAAAGCACAGGGATTTAAAAATGGAAAGTATACTCTGACTAATAGAGAGGTCTTTTAGTGGCCGGTCAACCGCAAAGCTTTTGACCCTCAGGTGGTCTTCAAGTCTTTTCAATTCTTGAAAATGCATGGAAAAATAAAAGACTCAGAGTGGGCTGCAGTGTTTATGTACATATATTTTTAGATGTTTTTGAGGGCTGTTATCTCACAATTCATTATACAATTTTTGTAGTTTTATAATGTTAATAAAAAAACAGTTTTAATATTTTCTTGTGTGACATCACTTTAGACTTTTTAGAGAGGCAGTCATATGGGTGCTGTCCACATGATTTCATGAAATTTAAGACCTCTTTAGGGGCTATTATGATATTTATATTATTATTGAACACAACTGTGTTTTGCATCTTTGCCAGTTGTCATATATGAATGACTCACATATCAATAAACATGGATGAGCTCAGGCTTCATTCACTTGGCTCATATTAAAGACCCATAAAATAGGGAGTCTCATCGCTGACCTCACATCAACCTTACTTGAATACATAATTAATGTATGCAAATTATATGTTGCACTAAAACGGGATACTATAAACTGACAGCTCTTTGGGTCATTACACTGATTACACTGATTTCCAGGGAATGACTTGTGACCATCAACAGAGAGTATGTATATAAGTGTAATGTGGAGTGCTAAAGCCCTGACAGCTGATCTACCACTTGTGATAGGTCGCAGCTGAGGCCAGGCTAAAATATTACTCTTAATCTTTTTTCCCGCCCTGAACCAGATGTTCATTCAGACCACCACGCTGACTGTGTCCATGAGCTTGAGTGCCACGGTGTCCCTGGGCATGCTGTACATCCCCAAAGTCTATGTCATCATCTTCCACCCAGAGCAGAACGTTCAGAAGCGCAAGCGTAGCTTCAAAGCCGTGGCCCAGGCAGCCACTGTTTCCACTCATCTCTCGCAGAAATCCAACGACAAGCAGAACGGAGAGACTAAAATTGAACCTGATAGATCCCAATAAAGACCAGAAGGTAAAAAAATATTTTGTACCTGCATATCTTACCTGTATACGTATATTTATATATTCACACAAACACACACACATCAACCTTCAGTGTATATATACTGTATATATATCGAAAGTATTCAAACCCCTGAATAGAATCCCTCACAACAGCACAAAACTGCAAAAGAGATGTTGTCTCAAGCACACCTGATGCAAGCAATCAAGGGCTTCATTAGTTACACCAGGTGTGCTTGAGCTAGAACACATGAAATGTCAGAAATGGCTAGGTTTTTGGAGTGTCACATTTGATTGCATGTTAGAAATATGGCTATAAAAGAATGGTCCAAAAAGATAAGAGAAAAAAATCATCACCCCTCACAAATCAAGGAACAGTATAAATGGCGAAGGCACAATGTTTCTGGAACACCGTTGGAAGCATAGTTCGCAAGTTCAACGTTAAAGGAACAGTGGTTACACTACAGAAAAAGGTAGCTATCAACATCTGAAACCAAATTTTCAGAAAGACCCTCAAGTAGGTGTGGAGGTGTGGAAAGCAGGATGGATTCATTAATGTATCAGGAAATCCTAGGAGAAAAAAAATTGTGGCGTCAATGAGGGAGCTGAAGTTTGGGTGTCATTGGACCTTCCAACTGGACAAGGATCCCAAGCATACCTTAAATTCCAGCTAGGCTTGGCTATAGAAGAAGTCCTGGAATATTCTACAGTGGCCATCAGTCACCTGACTTGAACCACATAGAAAATCTCTGGTGGGATTTGTATAAGCATCATGCGAACCCAATAATATTACTGTTCTGAATGCCATTGCTCATGAGGAATGGGCTAAGATTCCTCAGAAACGCTGTCAGAAGCTGGTGTCTGGTATATATATCCCGTTTGCAGCAGGTCATAACAGCAAAATGGTGTTCTACTAAGTACTATAGATGCTTACCGTGAAGGGGTTGAATAATTTTGAGACTGCAGAAGTCATTAAAAAATGCATTTTAAGTTGAATTTGGGGAAACCACTTGAAACATTTCTTGTGTTGAGCTATTCCAATTATTTTTTTTTAGTTTTTCATTGCAAACAGCTGAAAGTCTGTAAATTTAGCCACACTGTAAAAAAAATATTGATGGTTTAACTTAAAAAAGTAAGTAACCTGATTGCCTTAAAATTTTATGTTCATTGAACTGGAAAAAGCGAGTTAATACAATGAAGGAGAATGTTTTAATCATCAGAAACTCAAAATTACATGTTATCTGAACTAAATAAATGATTTAAGTTGATTTGACAAAAGAAAAAATGTTGTGATTACTACACTGTAAAAAAATTGTTGGTTTAACTTAAAAAAGTAAGTGGATTGAACTGGAAAAAGTGAGTTAATACAATAAAGGAGATTAATTTAATCATCAGAAACTCAAAATAATAAGTTATCTCAACTAAATAAATTATTATAAAGTTGATTTGACAAAAGAAAATATGTTGTGATAACAAATCTTGAAAATATTTTTTTACAGTGCATATATATATATATATATATATAATGTGAGGGAAGAACAAAACACTAAACTTAAAAAAGGTAAACTACAGCATCAGGTTTTATTTTTCTATGGAAAAAAGGCATATAAAATCCAAAAGCTCAGAGGAAAAAAATAAAAAAATTGACTACAACACAATCAGTTATTAATATTTCATTGGTTCTCTCTTGTTTTTGCATGTGTTCATAATTTAATTGCATGACAACCTGGCCAAAAGTTATGTCTGCAAAGTAGAATTGTTTCAATAATAATTAGTCTGGACATTAATAATTTGTTGTTTCACAGACAAACTGCATTATATAACATATATGCTATCTATCTTCAGGTGACCAAGGAGATACTCAAGGCAAACTGCTGTTTGCTAAATCATTCATTTTGCAACCTCAAATGGACAAAGATCACTAGAGGATGTGTGGATTTGTAATATCTGCAACAAGAGAAGAGTCTGGCTGAGAATAACACTGAATTAATTGTACAATATGTACAGAAATTAGAGGATCAATGGATTCTTTTTAATGTGGAACTCTCACATCAGCTTTGAGACTGGAACGTATTTGTCCCCTTGAATATTTCCCTTGACACCACAGCTTCACCAACCGAGTTGAAATGATAGATTTGTGAATTCATGATGAAGAAGAACAAAGTCACTGGAGAAAAACAGTAAAACATTTCTTTTACCAGCATTTCTTGAAAGACTAGTGTTTGCATCTGATGTATCCAAATGGAATCTGAAGTCACATTCAGTTTCAGTGTCATCTGCATCCTTACCTCCAGTACATATCATAAATGATGACAGAGCTACAGAGACAATGTTGGGATCAAATATGTTTCAACAGTCAAGCCAGTAGAACGCAGACACAAGGAGGTTTCACTCTCTTCGAACTCTTTGCTTTCGAAAATGTGCCATAACTTATGTTTCCGAATAAATGTTTTAAGTGTCTTGTGTGCAATCCTTATAATAGGCAATCCTGTATTCTAAATCATATTTATTAAAAATGATAGATTACCAAGAGAAAGCAATGACAATCTGTAATGACAACAAAGTTTTGATTAGAGATGTTTAGTTTGATCATGTTTCCTTGAGCTCCCCAAGAAATACTGATTTTTAAACAAAATGTATGCTAATGATCAGTATTTAATGATTGATTAAAATAAAAAGTAACAAGTCGACTTTAGAGACTGACGTTCAAATCCTTTTATTGTCACATGCAACTAGCATTCAGAGTAGTCACGTACATATTTTCCATAGCAAATGGGGAAAAAGACAAGTAAAAACAAGTACATTGTTTGATTAGTGTTACTTGCAGTATTATTTCAAGAAGCATTTAATATTAAATGATGATGACCATGCAGTTACTCAGGTTACAAGTTGGCTTAATAGCCATTGATGAATTTTGAGGGAGTCTTGTTTTCATTTAAGAGGTAAAAGAAAAAAAACAACAACACTGGAATAAAAATGTATTGATTGAATGCATGTTGGGGGAAAAATGATTTAATAAAATCCTGAAAAACATTGAAGAAATCATATCCTCCTTTATAGAATCAGTATGATTGTGAGTGTCTTTTGTTCTCATAGTTGTTGTAAGAGAAAAACACAGTGGTCCATTTACCCCGGGCTATTCATCCATTGTTCTATCATCTATAATCATGTAAATGTCTCAGTTACTTAATATCTGTGAGAGGTGATGTCTTAGAAAATCTGTTTAGATTCATAAAGTTACAAAAGAATACTGAATTGTCGATAAACTGTTGAATAATTGAAAATATATGCACACCCTGAGGTGTAGCCTAAACTCTTTGGGTCATGGCCACATTATCACCTCAGTGCAGAAACTTTTCAATAATTTCAATAAGTTTTAAATCTACTGAACATAATAACAACTCACCCAAACTATTAAGCTATTTGAAAGCATCCCTCACTTTAGAATGGTGGTTTGTTTCTAAGCAATTCTTGGTCATACAAAAAGAGAAACAGCATACTTTACATTTTAATAGAAACTGTGCATCATTTTTATGGAATTTAGTATGGATTTTCTAATTATCTTTTCATACAAGCATATGCTGCAGATTATGGCAGTTTAAATAATGTGGCAAAGTGATAATGTGGTCAAAAAAACCTGAAACTAGTTTATAGTTGCAGTTATAGATCATCTGTTCAGCAATGTTAGAGAATATCAAACATGAGGCACACCATTGCCACTTTAAAAATGAGTGTTCACCGATAAAACATTTTCAAATAGTAACATTTAATAGAATTTTTAAATACTTTTACTAAAAATGGGTCAAACACATAGGTCAAACATCACTTGGAAAAATCACCGTAGTCTATCGAAGGTTTGATGCGGTAGGGGGCAGTGCAAAGAAATATGAGCCCAATTTGTGAACAAGAAGCAGAGCAGGCGTCGGAAGTGACGTGAAATCGCATTGTGGTTTGTTGATGTTTGTGTCAAACTCTCGGTCGGTCGTTGTTGCGAAAGAAAAACCTCGAAACTGAAAGATTTGTGACGACCGTATTATTTCACCGACATATCGTATTATGTCAGAACGGGGGTGACTATACATGCAGCGAACAAACTGTGTATATACAAGTTTGAAAGGCCGTTTTATTCTGCGCGTTGTAACACATAATAAACACAAATCACCGCAAGCTGGCCAGCGATGACAATCCTCCCAAAGAAGAAACCGGCCTCTACAGCCGGTGGCGGTGATCATACGGACGAAGCGGACCGACGAAGCGGTTCTGAGTCGCACCCTCATCCACTCGCAGGACGATCGGGGTCCCGACCCAGGGCCTCTCCGCCGCCGTGGACATACCAGGCCACACCGCACACGTCCAGAGAGGAGCGGCGCATCGAAGCGAGCGCTCGCCCGCAACAGGCCTCCCCACAGCCCGGTGCCGCTGGAGCTCCGGTCGTGCAGTGCGAAGGGAGCTCGAACTCGGCTGTGGTCGCAGGTCGTGTCGAGTTACCTTGCGGCGCAGGTGGTGTTGGAAGCTGCTGCTCGGGACCCGGACTCAGCAAGCGGAGACGGCAGGCTGTCTGCTCCAGCGGTTTGACAGGTGGAGGAGGTAGAGTGGGAGGAGGAGGAGGGGGCGGTAGTCCAGTATCGGAACCCGAAGAGGGAGCTGGAGGCAACAACAGTGAGGATGAGTATGAGAATGCGGCCAGACTTCAGCTTGTGGACCCCGCCACGGTCGAGCAGGTTCTGGATATTGACAGTTTTCTTATTAGTCTGCTTTCTGTGCCAATTTGAATGACCCATCAAGCATGCTGAGAGCTAACTGTATAATCATTTAGCCTAATAAAATTCAAATGTTTGAAACTGTGCCTTTAGGGGATAGTCTCACCCAAATGCATTTATTTACGCACGCTCCAAACCTGTTTGACTTTTGGTTGTTTTGAGTCTTTTAAAGGGTTAGTTCACCCAAAAATTCCGTCATTATTTACTTACCCTCATGTTGTTCCAAACCCGTAAGACTTTTGTTTATCATCGGAACACAAATGAAGGTTTTGATGAAATCTCTGAGCTTCGTGTCTTTCCATTGACAGCTATGCAACTACCACTTTGAGGCTTCAAAAAGTTCACAAAGAGATTGTAAAACTAATTCATATGAATTGAGCGGTTTAGTCCATATTTAGAATTTGAGATTGAATCAGATTGAATTTAGGCTTTTATTCACAGATAAACCTTGATCAGCATACAAACAGAAGCTCAACTGAAACTACTTAAGAACAAACCTCATTGGTTCTTGCGGAAGCTCAAACATGCTGCGTAACACGAGAATGAACCTCATTCGTTCTCGCATATCAAGCAAATGTTGATGAATGTTTTTATATTTGAATAAACCGCTCGATTCATATAGATTAGTTTTGTGACCTCTTTTTGAACTTTTTGAGATGTCAAAGTGTCAGTTACATAGCTGTCATTGGAGCGACAAAAAGCTCTCAGATTTTATTTAAAAATTATATATCTTCATTTGTTTTCTGAAGTTGAACGAAAGTCTTACGGGTTTGGAACGACAAGAGGGTGAGTTTAAAGGGTTAGTTCACCCAAAAATGAAAATTCTGTCAGTATTTACTCACCCTCATGTTGTTCCAAACCTCTATGTGTTTATTTGTTCTGCTGAACACGAAGGAAGATATTTGGAAAAATGTTTTAATCAAACAGATCTCATATGTTCCAAACCTCTATGAGATCTGTTTGATTAAAACATTTTTCCAAATATCTTCCTTTGTGTTCAGCAGAACAAATAAACGCATAGAGGTTTCGAACAACATGAGGGTGAGTAAATACTGACAGAATTTTCATTTTTGGGTGAACTAACCCTTTAAGTAATGACAGAATTTTAATTTTTGGACGAGCTAGCCTATCTCTTTAATTATTACAGTTTTGGTTCAAAATTAAAGCCTATATCTACCACATAAGAAAATAATTATGCCATTAAGTCTTAGTAAAGACGTAAAGAAAAGTAAACTTTTTGTCACAATTATGACAAAAATCCGAAATAATGAAATTGTGACAAAATCAACATAACCTTACATTAATCCCCACAAAAACTGAAAGTGAATGGTTTCCCATTCCTATTAAAATTAAATTGTCCAAACACTTTTTGGGGACACTGTCTGTTTTGGAAATAGGAAAACTGTCATATGTATTAATTGTACTATAATACACTTTTTCTTTCTTTCTATTTTTTTTTACCTACAGCAAGAAGAATGGTTCGAGAAAGCCTTAAGAGAAAAGAAAGGCTTTGAAATTAAAAAAATGAAGGAAGATGGAGCATGTCTTTTCAGAGCAGTTGGTAATATATTTATATATAGCTAGCTTAAACATTTCATTTTGGTTATTTGCTAGGGCACCATTTGAAATTTTAATTTAAGTTTTTTAAGTGAAAGTTTTTCATGTAATATTTATGTTTTATTTTAGCTTTATTTCAATTACATAAAATGATTTCAAAAGTTTTAGTTAATAATAACTATATATTTATGTCTTTTTTTTTTCTTTTTCTTTATTAAAGCTGATCAAGTATATGGGGACCAAGATATGCATGATGTGGTACGGAAGCAGTGTATGGATTACTTGGTGAGTCAGTTAAATATTCAAGAAAAAATTATTTGCAATTAAAAAATAATTGGCTTTGAAATGTGGGTTTGGCTCTTCTTTTAATTATTGACTAAAATGCAGTTTTGATGAATTGTTTATGCTTCGATTACAGACGAAAAATGCGGATTACTTTTCGAGTTATGTCACAGAGGATTTCACCACATACATTAACAGAAAAAGGAAGAACAACTGCCATGGGAACCACATTGAGATGCAGGCCATGGCAGAAATGTTCAACCGGCCGGTGGAGGTTTACCAGAATGGTGCAGGTTAGTTCATGTCTGTTGAATTCTTGCCATCTATTAGGCTGTCT